ATTCATCATTAGGGCTAGGCGTTTGTGGCGGACTTTTTCGGGAATATCGCGGACCTGTGGCGGATCTCCCCAGCAAAAATCGCGGACTTATGGCGGATGCTTTGTCGACGGATCGCGCTAAGTCGGAAAAAAGACAAGGGCAGCTTCATGGCTCCGAACAAGCAAAACGAAAGCTCATGCTTATGTTTGTCTGCTGTCGTCAATTACCTTGTGCTACCTAGGAGGCTTGAAGCTAGGACCAGAACTCACATTTCGTCACTGTTATGATCAAGCATATTGTACATGCTGAGATTCTTACTTTTTATACTACGTCTATCATCTCGAAGAACAGTCGCGCATTTCCTGAAAGATCTCTCAGCCGAAACACTGTTGCCGGGTTCACTCAGACAAGTCAGAGCGATCTTCGCCAATTCGGGAAAACGAGCCGTCACATTTATACACAAAACTATCGGATGAGACGAAGCCTCGAGTTTTCTCTTGGCCGACAAGTATAGTCGGAGTTCAGCCTTCCCCGGATCGTTTTCCTCGAACCACAGTATATTTTCGATGACGTAGCCGGCTTCGATCTCGATTGTTTTCAACTTCGCGGGGTCGAATACGCGACAGGCGCGGAAGAAGTCCGCAGCGGATAAGGATATCTCGCCATCGATGGTTCCCTTGGAATCTATCGAACGGGATGCGGGTGTTGCGGTTCAGTAGAGGATAGAGCGCCCGCCATGGTCACAGCTCCCCGACGGAGAGGCCTTTAGGAGAATTTTCTAGAATAAACAGAATGTTTCGGAAATTCCACGAAAGCTGGTGTTCTTCGATCTTTACTCTGAAATCATCTCCCCTGACCCACAATTCACTATATCTGGCGCCCAACGGGGTCTAAGTTGATATCAGTACCCGGAGAACATCAAATCATCGTCGTCGAGTCGGTTAGTTCGGAAACTTTTCGAATCCGTACAAGACCCGGTGAGAGAATTTCGGCTTGCGAATTCGGACAATTTTCGATTCGACTTCAAGCCACAGCGGACAAACACTCTTCGGCTCGCGAATTCGGAGATTTTCGATTCGTAAGCATAACATCGAGGAGAAGTAATCATGCCGGCGTGCACCAAACAAAGGGAAGTGGCAGTTCTTCGCCAACCCATCCGTGACTCAATCACCAAATTGAAACAAGAACTCTTCGATACCATCGATTACAAGGACACCATGCCAGACATCGAGTACGAGAGAAAGCTGAGAGTTCTTCTGAAACAAACGCAAGATGCCACCAAAAACTTGGAGATTCTGGATAAGGCCTGGATAGCGGCGAGAACAAGTGAGTTATCCGTCGACGAGTACAACGAAGAAATGGAAGTCATGGACAAATTCAAGAGGATCGTCTTCGAGATCGAAGCAGCGATCGAAGCCGAATTCGAGAAATCGAATGTGAAGCAAAGCAACTCCGAATTAAGATCCATGGTAGAGCAGCTGATAAAGTTGCAAACGAAGTACTACGAGCAACCAAAGCACGAAGTCTTCGAGTCGACGAGACACGAGGCTGCTCCCAGCGTGTCACAAGTGCTGGAGCGACTCGCCACCGTCCAGGAAACTCAGGCCTGCAACTTACCGAAAATGGAGCTCAAGAAATTCTATGGCAACAATGTCGACTTTCTTTCATGGTGGAATGAATTCAAAACTTATGTGCACAGCCTCAGATGCTTGACCGATCTCCAGAAGTTCAAGCACCTGAAAGACCTCTTGAAAGGGGAGGCAGCTAGTTGCGTCGAAGCAATTCCGGTGACCGACGGCAATTACGTGAAAGCGGTCAACCACGTTCTTCGAAGGTACGGCAACAAGGAGAGGATCGTCATGAGTATATTCTCGAAATTATTGGAGCTTCCCAATACTTCCAAAGTCATCGAAATCCGAAAACTCAAGTTGAATCTCGACCGCGTGCTCAACTACATGACAACCCTGGAGTCGATGTCAGTGGAGCCAGTGAATCACTCAACGATGATATACCCCCTTTACCTACAGACGTTGCCAGAAACACTGATCCGGCAGTTTGTTTCATCGATTCCCACCAATGAGCCAGTGGACGAAGAGACCATCCGGGATCCTTTCGACGCCGCGGCCAACGAGTTGCCAGACCTGTTCGCAGGACGGTTGAAATCGCTCCTCAATTTCGTAGCGAAAGAAATCGAAACTCGCGAGCAGACTGGGGAAATCACTCATAGCAATGAGAAGAAATTCGACCCATTATCAAACCCATCCCGCAGCCAGAATCAGATCGACCAAACTGGCAAGAATAAGACGACCAATGCACAGGCACGTGATAACAAGACACCAGTAGAGGGCAAAGTCAAATGTGTCTTCTGTGGAGCCCCCCACCTAGCTTCCCAATGCAGAAGCACAGGCCAACTCTCCGTCGAACAGAGAACAGCAAAGCTGAAAGAGGCCAAGCTCTGTACGAGGTGTTTGCGACCTGGTCACATGGAAGACAATTGCTCCGTTCGCATGAGATGCTACGAATGCAAAGGAGCTCATCACAAGATGCTTTGTCCAGCCTCTTCGCGCATCGCAGTCAACTTCATCGGTTCAGGCAACTCAGTTCTACCGACCGGTCACATTGACTTGCAGGTCGGTTCGAGATCGATCCAAGCACGGTTTCTATTCGACTCGGCAGCAGAGAGAAGCTGGGTAACTGCAGACCTGGCCACTAGGCTAAATCTGAAGCCGAGTGGGTTCGAGTTCGCATACCTCTACGTGTTCGGCGGGGGAAATCCTAAATGGGAAAAATGCCCTTTAGTGTCCTTCAACATTCGAACTTTGGAGGGCAGAAACTTGGATATAACAGCTCTGGTCATCCCGACGATAACCGACAAAGAACTAGACCTCATTTCACCTGATATCGCAGAACAAATGCATCAACCAGCAGAGAGATCATCAGGAACGAAGGAGATAAGCATACTCTTCGATGCATTCGACATGATGAGACTCGTGAAAAACATTCGACACCTCTGCGAAGGTTTGGCGATCCTTCAGACAGAAATCGGTGATGTTGCGATCGGTGGGAAGCGCAATGCTTCGAAAGTCGCAGTCATGGTATCAGCTCCTGCCTCGCTAGAGGACTTCTGGAAACTTGAACATTTCGGGATCCTCCCCCAGGAATTGCAAGAACAGGAGAAGAATTGCCAGGCTGCGTGCGAAGCATTCTCCAAATGCTTCACGAAGAAAAAAGGGATGTATGAAACAATAATCAACTTCGACGCGAAGAAAGTACCCTTGTTGAGCGACAACTTCAGCCTAGCGAGAAAGCAACTGGAATCCCTAACGAAAACATTGTCTATCAAACCAGACCTCAAGGCATCTTACTGGCAAGAAATGAGGTCTTTCCTGGACAACAACTTCGCGGAAAAAAATCCAAGGGGAAGCACCCCTAAATACTTCATGCCTCACTTCCCGGTCGTGAACGAGACGAAGACGACCTATAAGGTGAGACCAGTATTCAACGCTTCATCACACCTGAAAGGACAGTTGTCTCTCAACGATTGCATTCTCGACATGCCAAATCTTCTGCCAACGTCAGCCGAGATGCTGCTCAAATTTCGCAGTCATCGGTTTGGGTTAATTGGCGACATAAAGAAGGCCTACATGACAGTCGGCGTCCAGGAGGAATTCAGAAGCTATCTCTGTTTTCTGTGGTACGACTCGGAAGATATGAAAAATCCCACAACCTACCGGATGACCAGAAACACCTTCGGAGTGAAAGATGCACAATTTAACACCATAATGGCCATCCGGGAGCAAGCTAAACGATTCGAAGATCCTAAGCCTTCCGGATCGAAAGCTCTGGTTGAAAATCTATACATGGACGATCTCATCGCTGGCGAAGATTCGATACCAAAAGTTCATATCATCAAAGACGAGGTCGAAACCATCCTAGCAGACGCTGGAATGCATATGCACAAATGGAGAATGAGTGGCCAAGAGGAGAGCCTAGCTCAAGAAAACCACCCAATGGAGCCGATCATATCTCCTCTAACGTCGGAACAAAGTTCTCGGAGTCGG